TTTATTGTGGCTCACACATATTCACACTCGACCAAATTAACCCAGCTTCTTAACGAAGATTAGTTTGTATGGTGAGTAGTGGTCTTTCAGGTCAGATGTTAAGAGTACGGCTCTGCCAAGTATATGCTCTGTTGTGTCATCGTTGATGAGATAGTCGGATAGATAAGGTACAAGATTCCCACCTTGATACTCGCGACAACCTTTCCATATAATGGTTTTTGCACGTCAGCTACACCTGACGATGGCCTTAGATTCTGAATGTCAATCACGGCAGAGCCCCGCATTACCGTGACAAGGCGATGCTACGACGAGAGGGCGCCCGGTATTCGGGTGTCATTCATCCTCTCGGCACGGATACACACACCTTAGGATTAAGCCGCCATCGTTGAGATGCCATTCAGTTGGGGAATAACAGAACCACTAATGAACACATTTATAATTTAAACTCTTTGATAGAAACTTGAATGGTCAACATTTTTACGAGATTATCTGCCTGAGCTTCTGGAGAATGTGCCGCTAAATATCAGACAACGAATGTGGTTACAATGGGCTCATTCAGGCTAATTTAGTGTTTTATTGAAAATTATATATTATGAAAGTAAATCATCTCCCAAGTATCCCACAAAATTTTCCGGTTTTTATGTCAATTAACAACTGAGCAAGAGTAATTGAAAATGTGATATCGCCCGCGGTACATCCTGACGTCACACCAAGCACCGAGCTTCGAGCGGTGGCAGCCGGGTCGGTAGTTGGAGATTTTGCTTCATTTGCTGACTGGTTTGAAAACACCACGTGTTACGCTAGTTCACACACACACCGATTTTGGATGGCCGTCTTTGTACTGGTCGTCCAAATTCCAATAGTGAACCACATGTGGGAACGGGACCTTGCACACACGCCGACCGGTGATCGTCGCCGNCTACTTCTGATACAATTTTGAAAGGAAGAGCGTTGCGTGATAGTTCTGTAACCCTGCTGGGACGAGACAGTTGGGGGTAAAAACTAGATCCTATTTATAACAATGCATTCAAAGTCAATTACAGGAGTATGAATATGCAGAAGGTAAAATTTTGAATTTGGTTGCTGGTGATAATCAATTGAAAGGTGGACAAAAAATCAATACAGATTTTTACAAACGATGAATTCTCCACGCTTTTCTACGTGAACTTTTTTCAGAATAAGATTCACCACGGTGGTTTAGATTACAATATTATCCCAAAATTAAATTGCTAATTTGTCCGGATATTTCATTGAATTTCAGACCTTTTTATAAGTAACAATGCTGTATTCATACTAACAAACACATTGCTCACAGTGAGAAATTCAATTACTTGAATAGGTACGTCCTTATCAGGACCAAATTGACCCAGCTTCTTAACGAAGATTAGTTTGTATGGTGAGTAGTGGTCTTTCAGGTCAGATGTTAAGAGTACGGCTCTGCTAAGTATATGCTCTGTTGTGTCATCGTTAATGAGATAGTCGGATAGTCAAGGTACAAGATTCCCACCTTGATACCCGCGACAACCTTTCCATATAATGGTTTTTGCACGTCAGCTACACCTGACAATGCCTTAGATTCAACCGTGCAGGGCTTTTTCGCCTCTGGCTTTGGTGAATCATCACTTGAGCGCAAACGTTTGCTAATCTGCTCATGGGGGGTTTGTTTCCTCACTGAGATAGATTCTGCGTACGCCGATCAAGAATTTCGTGCAAGGCGGTTTTATAAGGTACCCCGCTCTTGAGAAGATGACTCAGTCGTTTCTGGCTGCACCACCAAAACTTTTTTGTTTGGTTCATTATTGGACCAGGAGTTGGGGAGATTAGAAGCTCTCGCTCCTGATCTAAATTTACAGGGAGGTCAGTTGGAGTCGTAAACTCGACATCCACTTACTCTATAGACTCAGCATCAGAAAGAATTTTTAAGTTTACTCTGTATATAAAAGTCCCACCAGTAGCTAGGGAAAGAATGTCAATCACGGCAGAGCCCCGCATTACCGTGACAAGGCGATGCTACGACGAGAGGGTGCCCGGTATTCGGGTGTCATTCATCCTCTCGGCACGGATACACACACCTTAGGATTAAGCCATCGTTGAGATGCCATTCAGTTGGGGAATAACAGAACCACTAGTGATTCTGTAATTCCCGTATCCAGCAGGGCTACACATCACATCACTCGCCATAAACAGCATGCACAGTGGTTCAGACAGTAAAAGATGAACAAGGACAGCCAACCCGCAAAAAGCCCAACCGATCTGTGAACATTCACATTTATAATTTAAACTATTTTTGATAGAAACTTGAATGGTCAACATTCTGCCTGAGCTTCTGGAGAATGTGCCGCTAAATATCAGACAACGAATGTGGTTACAATTGAACACTTCCTGTAAAAGCATCTATAGAAGAGAGAATGTCCAACCTTTCTTCGATGTTCCGGGCTATCAAGGTTGCACGTGATTTCGCGTCTCCAATCAGGCGGATGGCTCTTTTCTGGATGGAATCCAGCAACTTCAGGGTATGTTTGGGGGGCAGAGCTCCATACATGGGAACAATACTCCAAAGAAGATCTGATCTGAGCTTTATGAAGCATCACAAGTTGCTGAGGTGTTAACAGTTTTCTGGTTCGGAACAGTTTTCCAAGATTTTGAGAAGCAGCCTTTGCAATTCTAGAGACATGATTGGGCCAAAAAATATTGGTGTCCATTTTAACCCCCAACAAACTTATCGAAGCAGAAAGCGGAATTGTCTGACCTAACATTATTATATCCGGTTCAGAGACATTTATCTTTTTGGGGAAAACCGATGCCTGGGTTTTTGTGGCATTGAAATGAACCTGGTTACTTTCACCCAAATTCGAAATCACTTCTAGATCCTCATTAAGATATGCAACCTTCTGCTGCCGGTGAAGATGTGCCTCCGTAGCTGATGTCCTGGAATCCAAATGGAATGACGAGACAAGTGTGCTGTCGTCAGCAAAGCAATATATTGGATTCTTGTTTTTTTTCCAATGAGTCGTTGAATACAATAAAAAAAGGGTTGAAGACAATATGGATTCCAGGAGAACACCAGCGTTAATGGTGAAAGTATTCGACAGATATCCATCGACGGCCACTTTCAGCATAGCATCGAAGTTTGTGCAGCAAACCTTCTTGCCACACACGATCAAAGCCTTAGAAATATCCAACAGCTCTTGAATCTCTATGTTTCTCGATTGCGTTATTCCAAATATGGGTGACATACTATAGAAGGTCGCCTGTTGATCTTTGTTTCCGAAAGTCATATTGATGATCGCTCAAGATGTTAAAGCTTTCCAAATATTGGAGGACATGGTGGTTTACAACTTTCTCCATGATTTTTGATATCACTGATAGCAAAGCGACTGTCTGTAGTTATTTGGAAGATTTTTCTTGCCCTTTATGGGAAACGGCTGAACGCGAGCAATCTTCCAAGAAAAAGTAAAAACCCATTTTTCATAAGACAGGTTGAAAAGTCTGCAAAATACTGGTGCGTGTTCATTTGTAGACTTTTTAAGTACGATGACGGGCACTTCATCAGGTCCAGACGCCTTGTTAATATTGAGCTGTTTTAAAATTCACCTGACTAGACGCTGTCGAAAAGTAATTTCCGGTATTGTAGATTCTAGTGTGGGAATAGTGGGTGGTGCCTTTCTCGGAGAAAATTGACATATGCAGTCTACCGAGCGGTGCATTTTGAATTGGTTAGATCACTTTCTACAGATGCATTTTTAATGGTTTTCCGAAGATTTGTTGCAAGAAAAGGTAAAGTTCAAGTAATATACTCGGATAATGGTGGAAACTTCATTGGAATTATCAATTTACTAAAACAAGAGAACTGGAATGGAGTGGAAGAATATTCGAACTCAAGAAAAATGGTGCGGCGGAATTTACGAAAAATCCTGCTGATTATGAAGAACTCATGACTGTGTTATTTGATTGCGAGGCAACTAGATCAACTCTCGACCAATTACATATGTATCTAATGAAGATGTCGTGCCTATAACACCTTCCATATTTCTCAATACGGAGATTCCCGAATTGGTCATATTTGATGTACGTCATTTGATAAAAAGATTGAATTATATACAGAAGCTCAGATATGGTTTATGTAGTCGACTCAGGAAAAGTATCTAGTAGAACAGGTCCATACTGGTCAAAAACAGATAGGCAATCTGAAAGTAGGTGATATTGTTCTCATGAAACAGATAAGCGAACTGCCTGGCCTTCAGGAAATATTTTTTGCATTTTTATTTCCTGGAAAAGACAAGTTCCATAGAGTAGCAAGAGTCAAATGGGAACACGAAGATCTAATTCGACCAATTCGCAGATTATATTATCTGAAAATTATATTTCTATGGAGAGAAAAGTGAAGGAAAAAAAATTTGTAGGTTGCGAAATGTTAGAGAATAAAGAAAAGAAGGATTAAAAAGAAAATAAAGAGCAGACCTTCAAGAGAAGAGAAGTAGCTCAAGGCCCAGATGTCACTAGATACGGCCGTAAAGTGCAGAAATCAGCATGATATGGGTTTTGATTGTTTATTTTCCATTTGCAAATTATTTTGGAATTCAATTGCAAATGGGGGAAGAACTTCATTATTAGTTATTTTTGAGCCTCCGTATATTGTTCGTGTCATAAAAACAAAAAAATGTTGAATGCCAGAATAAAAAATAAGTTTAATCCTTCATCAATAGTTTTGGCTTCTGAGCCTTTGAACCCTTTCAGTACATGTTCTGTAGAATGAACTTTGAACTGTTTCAATATATTCAAGGGCATAACGCCTACATCAGCACCTGTGCCTAGCCTAACCTCAAATTTCTTGTTTTTTATAAGCAGATTTTCTTCCCAAGCACTTACCATGTTACCGGATTCTTTGGACTTACATTTCCCACAAATGGGGAACTTTTCGGCCTATCTTGAATTCACAAATTTTATTTGCCAGGTTAGTCGTTTTTGGGAACCGTGCTATGTTCATATAAAAATACTTATTGCTTTTTACAACATTAATCTATTCATAAAAGCTATGAGGCTCTTATTCAGTTTATACATCAACATCCATAATAGTTTATGGTCATTCACCGACAACACACCGAGACAACTGACAGTTTTACATTCTCAATCTGAAGGTATATTTACATTACATGATTTTCTTGCAAAACTAACACGATACAGGTTTTTCAGTCTTAACATTTTTGTTCTTTTTTTCTTGAACGAGTTCTTGGTGACGTGCCGTTTTTTCATGGTATTTTAAACCACCACTTTGGGTGAACGATTTTGAACAGGTTTCACAATGATATGGAAGTATTCCAGTATGAGTCCTTTCATGGACTATCATATTAGATTTATAATTGAACGATTTTGAGCAGAATTTACAATGAAACACTTTCATATCAGTATGAATTTTTTCATGATCTTTCAAAGTACTACTATTTTTGAAAGATTTTGAACATATTTTACAAGTATATGGCCTTTCGTCACTATGAGTTCTTTCATGGTTTACCACATGACATTTATGAGTGAAAGATCTCTTACAAATTTTACATTGGTACCGTTTTTCTCCAGTATGAGATTTTTCATGTGTGGTTAAAGTACTTTTTTGAGTGAAAGATTTTGAGCAGACTTTACAATGGAACATTTTTTCTCCAGTATGAATTCTTTCATGAACTTTCACATAACTATTTTGTGTAAAAGATTTTGAGCAGTTTTTACAGTGAAACCGTTTTTTACCACTGTTATTTTTTTCATGTTTATTCAAATTTTGAGCAATAAATCTTTGCCGGATTTTAAAAAGAAACAATTTTTCCTCCTCATGAATTTTTTCATGGACATTCAAACCACTTCTTTGTCTGAAAGATTTTGGACAGAACATACAGGGAAATGATTTCTCCCCTGTATGAATATTTTTATGAACTGTCCAACTAGACCTAAAAGTGAAAGATTTTGGGCAGAATTCACAATGAAATTTTTTTTCTCCTGTATGTATCCGTTCATGATTCTTCAAAGTTGCAGATATACTGAAAGATTTTGAACAGAATTTACAGTGATAAGGTCTTTCACCAGAATGCGTCCTCAAATGGATATTCAAGTGGCTGCTAGAAACACAAGATAATTTACAGATATTACAAATGAATAGTTTCTTCCCAATATGAGTTTTTTCATGCAATTCCAAATGACTTCTTTGAAAAAATGATTTTGAGCAGATTTTACAATGAAACGGATCCACTACAGTCAACGAGTTGGCATGGTATTTCAATTTTTTTCTAGTACCAAGATATTTTGTAGGGAGTTTATAGGGGTTTTCTTCTTCTTTACACGCTCTATTACAAACTCTTGAGGATCTATGATTAAAATATTCTGCTTTTTTTATGGGACACTTTTTTTTTTTTAATTCATTAGTGGTATCCTCTTTCTTCACCAACACTGTTTCTTCTTGTTCTTGAAGAAGCATGATTCCAAAATCTGGAATAAAAAGAAATATTCATGAATGAGAATAATTTATTAATGAAATTAAAATACAGTCTTCATATAAACAACAAACATTTTTCAATGTAAACTCAAACACTTATAATTACCATATGTGAATGCATCAATCAACAAAAAATCAATTACGAGTTCTTGTTCATTAGCTTTGCTACTTCTTGCAAAATAGTTTTATATCATGTGTATAGAGATAGAAACCTTGAGCTATAAGAAAATATTAAGGCTCTCAGTGTAATATAGGAAATGACAGTTAATAAAATATTGACGTAGGTCATTACAAATTGGCGATGATAACTGAATAATTAAAGATTACCAAACAACACTAAAACTCAATGGAACGCATAAATGAACACATTTTTTTAAAGAAGGTACATTCAAAAATGTCTGTGTCCTGTGATATCGGTTCTATTATCCATTAGACATCAAGAATGATATGAACAATTTAGGAGCTAGATAGAAAAGATGGATTTTCAGATTCAAAAATTACCTAAAAGCTGCCAATACTTCAGACGAAGAAAGGAACAAGGCCACGTTTTCATGTATGGTAGGAGAAGATTGGTATGACCTATTTTTGAATTCACTCGATGTGAAACAAGAAAACTCATCACCTCACAATAAGACAAAAAAAAATGCAAAAAATACTTTTTCTAAAAGCTCAAAATAAAATTTGAAATTCTAACTTTTTGTCCGATAGGAAATCAAGCATCACATTATTTTGAACACAACTGACGCATCTCTTCGAAAATATGGTTTTTGTGGAACATCCTACTTTACATAACTTATAATACCATAAAAAAATGATACAGAATACAAGAATAGCAGCGCAACATATGGAACAAATAACTAGCATAAATCAACATGAAGTCATTAAATTACATATCTGCTGGTATCTTTTTGGCAACCCTGTTTTCGACAGATCACGCGTGAATCGTGGTCTATGATTTAACCATGAATCGACTTACAAATGAGCAACGCTTGCAAATTATTGAATTTTATTATCAAAATTCATGGTCGATGAAGAAAGTGCATCGTGCATTTCTTCCAATTTATGGGCAGTTTCGTCGGCCTACTGAGGGAGCTATTCGGAAGCTTGTGACTAAATTTCGAACCGAGTTTACATTATTGGACATTAAACCACCAACACACATACTTAGAGGAGGGGACCGAAGAAAATATTGCGGCTGTATCCGCCAGTGTTCGTGATGATCGTGAAATATCGATTCACCGCCGTTCGCAGCAATTGGGCATCTGTTACTCCACACTACGTGGAAAATTTTGTGAAAGGATTTGGGTGTAAAACCTTCAAATGAATTGGCATTTTCTGAAAATTGTCAGCAATATCATCAACAAAGTTCACAACAACCCTTCCAATATAAGGGTATTCGTAGTTATATAATGCATGCCGCTTTCCTGCCTTGCAAATTCTGCCCCTGTAAGCTCGCAACAGACGGGATTGGAAAATGATGCGGGATCCACGATACCAAGATCTTGCAAGTGCGACTCAACAAAAGTAGGTATAGAATTAGACGAAAAAATAACTAATTGCACTATCGATAAACAGGATCATTTGTAAAAATAATCAGCAGAACTACAATTTCCACCGCAATCATAAACTGAAAGTGAATGAAACTAAGATATTTTCATATAATTCAAATGAAGTATAGCTTGGCAAATCTAGGTGTGTCTGTGAATATTGGATGCGCAGTAGATCATTCGGCAGAGTGGGGCGAGAGCTGTTCACAACTACAAGTAGTGATTGTGGACAGTTACCATCTCTCTTTATCATTTGCGCATCTCTGAGGTACAGCTGAATTTGCCACGCTGGACTAAAAGTCCAGGAGTATTTGTTGTAAACTTTCGGTACAAAACAAATCCTGTTAAAGAAGAGATTTACACCGGCTCTATTATTTTACTGAAATGGAACTATTTTGAAGACTTGGTTGTTTGAAGAATTTCACAGTCAAGTTATTTGAGGATAAATTGGTTAGTCTTTTTGCACAAAAAAAAAAACATCGAGACAAAGTTGAACAAGAGCTTGAATGTCTTGAGAAATCCGATAGTATTGAAAGACTTACAACACCAACTCCTTAGGTATCTCCGATAGTGGTTGTACCATATCCAAACAATTCAGATGATCTGCGTATATGTGTCAATATGAAATGTCTCAATAAAGTTATCGAACGAATTCAATTCGGCACCTCACTCCAACGAATAATGACATCATAACTCTGATTTGCAAACTCTCAATATTGTTTGGTCAATTGACGTATACTTT